CGCTTTTATATTACGGCCTCCTCAGAGATACTCGATCTTTAGTGTTCTAAATATTGAGTTCCAAATAAATGCGAAATTTTATGTAGTTTGACATTAAATAAATAATAATATGGGGGGAAGGGGAATGTTAAAGGGATAAAGAAACCATTAGGCCCGTTTTCTACATTGGTTCAATATTGCATCGTTTTCTCACAAAGGAAGCACAAGCTTTTCTTTTCGCGCCATAATGTTGACAAGAAAACACAAAATACGAATAAATAGATTTGTCCCAAATCGATTTTTTTTTCGTAGCTGCTTTTCTTTGCATTAAAGCGTGGTGCTACGGCAAGCACCACGGCGGATATCGTCAAACATAAATTGCATCTAAAAAAAAAGAAGAAAAGAAATGAGATGCATTTCAGGACAAGTTCTTCTGTGAAATTCGCAGAAAGTGGTAAACTAGACTCTGTTGGGACAAAACGCCAGATTAATTGGAAGATAACTTTTAAGAGAAAAATATACAACCTGTAGACAATAGCCCCTCGAATTATCAATTATCAAAAATAAAATTCCCTCTCCTATATCGCGACACGTAAATAAAAATTCTAAATGACATTATAATGACATGAGATCAAAAAAGTAAAATCGTAATTCAATTACACACACCTTAGAAAGACGACCGCGAGCTTTTGTCAAAGTACTCAGAGCCAGTCAGTGCAACCTACGGTGAGAGCTTGGCGAACAAACCTTTCGACAAAAATAACGTCGACACGGTAAGGTTGCAAATCACGCTTCTCACGCTTGCATCAAGGCCCGTTTAACGGAGCGTGACTTTTTTATAGGACAAAGTTCCGTAACTCTTGGTAAGGAGATCGAACTATGGAAGCCGCTTCGTCCGGTTTGTTCGCCACACAGGTCGGCGCTTGCACAACGCAAGGACTATCGTCTGAAGTTGTTACGTCATTTACCTCGATCAATAAAGGGGCACCGATTGGACGTTAGTGCTGTGTGGATGTTGGGCGGAACTCCCGTTGAATCGCTGCTGTTCTAATTAAACTCGAGTACCAGTGGAACGCTGACGCTCTGCTCAGTTTCGTCAGTCCAATGCTGCGTCGGGCAAGGAAAAAAGAATTAATTTGTGTTTTGGGTTACCACAGCTGAGGTTAACAGGTGGGGGCCTGATTGTTCGACCTCATGCTCAATCGCCATTTGAAAGAAGCACTTGTGGACCGCGCAGGCAGACTCGCCCAAAAGGCCGTAGAGAAAAGACAGTTTTGCTGCTCCTTACAATTACCAACAACGAGTATTAAGGAGCGAGTGGTGGCGTTCATCAAAAGATTTAACTAGAGTTCCTATATAGGCTCCCTACGGGAGCCAGAGTTGCGCGTCTGTTTTCTACGTGCCGCCGCGCCGCTATTCGCCGAGGTTCGATCACGTGAGGAGCCGGAGCAAGTGTCGTGCAGGAAAGAAGACGTCGTGCGCGCCCCGGCGTACGTTCCCCTGCTTTTCAGCGCGCCACGCGCCTCGAACGTGTGGCGCAGCTCTTTGCCGTATTTAGTCACGTCAGGAGCAGACTCCGCATGCCGTCCAGGAAAGTCGGCGCTCCGGGGGTGAACGCGCAACTCTGGCTCCCGTAGGAGCCTGTACAGGAATTCTAGATTGAACTAGGGTGCCTACATGCCTGTCTGTCTCAGGGTGAAGACATCAATTTTTGCCCTGAATGTGCCAGCCCGTGACGCTCTCGCGCACTCGGTGCGTGACTTGGGCGTTAAAATGGCGTCTATGCATTAGCCAAAGCTATGCACTCGAGCTGAGTGACACCGGATGGCGCGCAGTTCAAAATGCATTAAAAAAATGATTGGTCGGAAAATGGCTCAGATATCACCACTCAAGCAAAAGCGCGCGTGTGTATGAAGGCACTCTAGATTGGACTAAAGTCATTTTATCCTGGCCAAAGTGGCGCCATTCATTGTTGTTGGAATGCTCGAGACACCTCCGCCGCGCCACTTCTGGGAAGAACATGGCGTCTGAAATCTAGCTCAGTGCTTGATATTCCCAAAGGCTGCACGTTGCACATGCCTCGTGCATCGACGCACCTTGCACTTCTTTTGAAACTTGAAGGAGCTTAGGTTGAACGAGAGGAAGCCATTTTGTTCTTGCAAATTATGCATCGTCGTTGTGTTGATTGTCGTTCCTCGCAACGGAAGTATTAAAGGAACGGTGATTCAGTTGGAATATTTTTCACTTTACTAGAGCTTACCAGCACTAGCGGCATCAAACTATACTCGTACGCAACGCCATTAATCAAGAAACCTCTTTGTTCCGGTAAAATTTCAAGGATAAAAGCGTGCGTTGTTCTTTCAGTCTCTCCTTCGCAAAATTTGATTACGTAGGCTGAAGGTCGAAGTGCGTGAACAGTTGGGCTCGCAAATATCAATAGATCAACACGCATTCGAATTTTGATTCTTGCCCAATCGCTTCAATGACGACAATAGCCGAATCCTAACAATGTGTGGAACATAGAGCGTGCCCTGGGCTTTGCCAAACCCAACGCGCGGCTACAATAAGCATTGGCGGCACATAATCGGCTCCAGATCACGTGGCCGCTTGTTCTGGCTTCGAGTTGAGAAGGAGAACGCTTCTCTTTTCCTTTCACTTTCTGCGACTTCCATTGCACAAGGGGAGAAAGCTAAAGGGCCGAACATACAGCTGCGTCGACCGCGTGGCCCTGCGTCGCGTTGAGCAGCACAGCGCCTCCCCATGTGGCTAGTCGTGAGGGTCGCCGCAGCAACAGCTCGACGCCAGCAGTCATGACGCAGTTAAACGCAGAACTCTGAACCGACCTCAACACGAGTTTTATGGGTTAAGAACGTAAGAAAGTCATTCGAAGTGTTATTTACGCAGATTACAAAGATCGTTACTCCGCTCCTTCAAACGAGTTCCGGCACTCTGAATGCTTTAAAAATGGTAAGCGCACAAAGATTTTTTTAACAATTCTGCTTACGTTATTTTGTTGTATTACCTTTCAGCCCTAGAGATAGCTTATTGACGCAACAAGCAACAAAACAAAACTGACACCGTCCAAAGACAAGCAGGTGCATCCTGCACGCGAAGGTATCTATGGCAGGCTTGCAGTCTTCCTACACGTTAAGAAAACACGAGTGATTGAAAGCCTGCCAAAACCGCGTTCGTTCGCACCCTTGACACGCATGAGATTGGCTGGTCTCCGTGTCTGCTGTTTGAAGCTTACAGGGGCCGCGAAACAATTCAAGTAATTTTGGTAAATACTGCATAGAAATATTATTTTCTTGTTAATAAGATACGAAACACGCCTCAGTGTGTTCTCCACTAATAACAAACGCAAAACAAAACCAAAAACAAACAAAAGACATCAGATTTGACCCCCTCTACTCGCAGACAGAAAATGCATCCGAATCATAAAGCTACGTTATATGACGCCGATAATGCGCCTTCAATGTTTATCGTAGTCACTAAGAGGGTTTGGCAAAGCATGGTGCAGGTGTTGGTAATCTATGAGACGCACTCTGTAGACTACGTCAACACTATGGATATGGCATCGGGTTTTTCAAGAGGAGACTGAGAGAAATAGTCTGGTTTAATACTTGAAATTACAACGCAACAAAGGAACGTCTCCGTCATTGGTTTTGCGCGCGAAAATACTTGGGCCCCACTAATGCCCGTCAGTTCCCGCAAAGTGAAACAATGATGGTTGAACGAACTCCATGAAACTAATTATGCAATAAATAACTGACGAACTTCGTCCGACGGCACTTTCGTTTTGCCCGCGATATATGCTTCCTTCACTCTTCAGCTGAGGCTAGCAGCTCCGCCTACAGCGCTAGCTTTCTGCCGTTGGTAACACAAGTGTGAACGCGCAGGCACGCGCAACCAAGGCACTGGTGAAACCATCGAGCTGGCGCTGAAGGAGGACCTTCTAGTCTCAGCTTGAGTGTGAACGGAGTATTTATCTTGAGATCCTGATTAAAATTAGGGAAGCGTGCTCTTGTTTATACACGGTTCTATTTGAAGCACGTGGTGATTCCCTCATTGAGGGTAGAGACAAAGCATCCACACTAAGGGTGCAGAGCACGGGAAAGGGTACAGAACACGAGCTCTTAGCAGTTGACTCCAGTGCGTGAGCGCTGCATTGGCACCTCCCATGTCTTTGGCCTCGCGCGCGTAGAATTCGTTTAGCTCCAAGGAAGTGTAAAACAAAGCGTAGTTCTTGTATTCACCACATGAGCCGTGCCGATCGAGTTTCAAGGCAAATAGCAGCCACTGTGCTGATGCAACACGCAGAGCCAAAACGCAGGGCGAAATTCGTCGACTTTTTGCAGAATATTCGCCCTATGTAGTTCAGCCTTTACACTAGCTTTATCAGGCTGACAAAGCCTGGAAAGTACAAAATCTGCTGTGAGTGAGCTGGGTTAATATTATTTGTATATGTGTGACGTCACATGACGTCACGAGGCGATAGTTCAGATGAAGTCACATTCACGTGACTTTTATGACGTCAAGCGACCTCATGGTGCCATATTACGGAGCTGCATCACGGGAAATCATGACGTCACGTAAAACTGTGAGGCTACATTGTCACCTCACGTAACAGTTTTGTGTGACTTCATAATGACACGTGACGAGAAGAAGTAACGTGATATCATAATGTAACGTGCCCCGCGATGTGACACTGTCACTTGGCACCATGGTCTCACATGACATCAAGATGTCACGAGTGGTCACAGCCCTTCGCTACGGTATTTCCATGACGGTTGAACACAAAGAAAAGAGCACTCAGAGGAAAAGGGCAAAGAAGGAAGACAGGACAAACATGCGCTGACTACACACAGACTGGGCGGCGAGGAAGAATCCTGTTGGTGAAAGGAAAATTGGGGACAGTTTTCCTACGCGGATCGGCAGATAAAACACAATCTGCGTTCAAGCATTCCGATATTGCTGCACGGCCGCGAGACAATAGCTTCGAAGGCGGCTCTGGTACTCACAGTAGACCTCCAGCTTCCACCCTTCTTCGAGCGCGCTGCCCGGGATGGCCTTGTTCTCGGCCCTGCAGGACAGGATGCGGTTGTTGTCGTCCACCGTGGGCGTGAAGAGGAGCACCGAGGTGCTGGCGCTCAGGCCGCCCTTGCTATCCTCGTCCCGGGCCGGCCGGATCTGCTGGTCGCCCTTCCACCAGGTCAGCGCCGCCGGGGGCCGGGACCCGCTCGACGAGCACACCAGCTCCACCTCCTTGTTGGCCGACAGAGGCCGCTCCGGGGGCTGAATCGTCACGTCCAGGGGCTTAACTGCGTGCGACGGAGGAAGACAGGTTACCCTGAGCACGAAACAAGTGGGGCGCCCAGCATCCCATGTATTGTTGGAACATCGCTGTTCATATTGCGCGCCAATGCGGTTTGGAAAATAGGATCGAACCGAACGCTTCAAAGAAGTGTTTGGTTTAAGACTTAATTTTTTTTTTTTTTTTTAACTCAAACGAAGGCCACGCGCGTCTTTTTGCTCATCTATAGTTGGTGACAGTTCAAGAGTTAAGGAGAAACTCCTCCAGCCTCTTTCCACTTTGGCCCAGGGAGCCACGGAGAGGAGGTCGCCACCTCTCTAGCGTTCGTTCTTCTAAAGTGGAAAGGGGTGAGCGGTCTTCCCATACACTCCTAACCTGTCAGCGCCAATACTGAACAACGTAAGCCCCTTTTTAACCGATTGCGGACAACGTTTTTCGCATCTCAATTCTAGCAACACTAAAGAAACAATAAACCAGTTCAACGCACCTATACCCACCCGGCTCTTCCTAGTTCAGGCCGCACGCGCGACCGAAGCCAGCATTTATTTTTATTTTGTTCTTTTTTTTTATATTGAGTTTGCACTTGAAACACGTCCAGCGCAAGCGAACGTATCGATTGCCGCTTTTCTCACGCGTCGTCTCCATTCGAAGGACGCGTCTCAGTCGTCGAGCCGCCGACCGAGCAGAGAGAAGGCGCCATAGCAAACGAGACAATATTGTCGATCGTATATCTTTTCACACGTGCCAAAACCCGACGGCCGGAATTCGCAGGCCGTCCACGTCGGCGACGTCTGTAAGCCGAGCACGCACTCCGCTCTCTTCTTGGGCTCGCGGCGCTGAACGACGGGGGCTGGCTGTGCTCCTCCACGTTCGCTTCGTTTCCGCGTCCTCTCCCAGCGCGGTCTGTAAGCGACGACTCGCTGCTTAGCACATCCTTCGTTACAGAGCCGCCGCTCAATTACTGGCCCGTTACGGTAAACCTCGCTGTGTCTCCAGCGGGTCGATCGTCCCGAGTCTGGGCCAACGAGAGAGACGGGCACAGAGAGAGGGGAAAGGGGGGGGGGGGGGTACTTTGAGCACGGACAATGAATAGAACAAAGTGCGCAATGTTAGCCTTCAAGTTCACGTCACGTAGACGATTGACGAACCAGTCGGCTATATAGCGTTGAACAGTTGTGGGACGAACTGCTAGTAATTTTAGTGCTCGATTCTTTTTTGTTTCCCTCTTTCTTTCTCTTGCTTTTCGTCGTGAAGCTCGAGAAGTTTGTTATGTAACAACCGAACCAAACACAGGAAGAATCTCCTGAATCGGACTGGGAGATGAGTGACTCTGAGTGGTCATACGATTTTGGGCCCTGGAGAATATGGTCGGGCGCGTTCTTAGTGAGTAGAGCTACCGTACCCTATACTTAAAGAAGCTAGCATTACCCTTAAGTAATAGGTGAGGGAATTTGTTTCGAACTATATACATCCGAAATTCGTGGTCTCGTTGAGAGAGACTCTAATGGTTCATTAACCGCGGGGGTCGCCTTACACACGCAGAGGCAAACATTTGGATATTAATTTCCTTTATTCTTGTTATATGTGAAGAAATATTGTATCGGCGTGATATTTTGCGTGTTTCCAATTTTAGAAATTTCTTTGTGATTTAAAGTTTCCACGACTGAGGTTTGTCTTTATGTATGTTGGTGTAATAAAGTGTACCTAAGATGCTTACCTAGGTTGATTACGTTGTTCACTTCTTGAACAATTAAAACGCTCTTAAAAAAAAAGAACACAATGACAATAAACACAATATAAATAATAAAACACGATGGGAGCACGATTATGTCTGAATCGCTTAGGTACGTAATATTCTTGATATACATTGTATAGTTTCAAAAAATGACATCTTTATAATGGCCTATGGCCGCGCCGACAGTATCGAAAATAAATTGAAAATGCCTATCAGGCGGGCCTTCATCTAGGTTTCAAGAAATATGTATGTAATATTCCAGTCCCTGAAATTCAACAAATGGACATTACATGAATTAAAGGTGAGCACTTTTGATGTAAAAATAAAGGGGCCCTGAGGTTTTTTTTTTTAGATCACCTAAACGTGACGATAGCTCACTCGGCGGGCTCTAAGCATCCTAGAAATTTACAAATCATAACGATGAATGGCTGAATTCCCCATTAAAAAAAATAAAGAAATATCAAAGAACGAACACAAAGAGATCATCTCTGGCGATGGGAGGAGCGTTGTTCAGACAGCCAGGGCGACATATCGCCAATGAAAACGCAACATTTCGCTCAGATATCAAACCCTGTTACTGCGAAATGTGTAAGATTTCTAGACGACAAAAGCAACGATGAGTAGCCAAATAATCTTAGTTTTTGGCGGAGAGGGAACATAATACTGCAATAACCGTCTCGAAAACAGAGCACTATGTCTTTTGGAAGAAATATTGTATCGGCGTGATAGTCCGCGTTTTTACAATTTTAGAATTTTTTTTTTTTAATTAAAGTGTCTGAGATTGTTTCGTTTGTCTGCTTTCGAGCGCACGATTAGCTGGGCTGTATCATAGTTCGGTCTGTATGGACAGCGAGGCGCCCGCATTCGATATATCACTCAGTAATTCCACCGGTCGGAGGTGCGAGAACCCCTTGCCTGCTTTTGGCTGACAATGATCCTGGATTCGGAACATGCTCCTCTCATCGCCGTAGATGACCTCCGTGTGTTGAAATGTTTGATTTTTTTTTTTTTATTAGGGAAATGGGTCGGATATTGTCATGATTTGGAGATTTCTGGAATTCTTAGATCCGGCAGAGTGAATTTTGGCCATATTTAGGCGATCTCAGAAACCTCCTCAGGGCATCTTTAATTGATTGGCCATATTGTCGGAAATAATCTTTGGTTCAATTTTGTTTTAGTTTGCCACTTTTTACAACATTATCGCTGCACTTAAACCGCCCATAATTTTTATTTCCACCTTCCTCTACTACAGACTAATCTGGGCAAGAAACGAGTTTGTTTTGCTAACAAAAATTGTAAACCTCGATCACAAAACAAATTAGCCTGAGCTCAGCCTTCCTATAGACCGTTTTACCGTTGGTAGCGCCGTTTTGAGAGCGAGAGAGAAAAAGGGGAAAGGGCTACCGGCGCTTTCCCCCTTTCTGATTGTGTAGAAAGAGTGAAAGTCCCGGATGAGAGGCTTGGCCGGTGTTGGGCGTCTGCAGTGCCCCAACTTCGTTCGCGCTTTCTTCTACGTTTCAAACTCCCAAACTTAATTAGAGCCATGGTCTTCGATGGCGACAGTCCCCCGGTCATCGGGACACCATTGCTGGGTGATAGGGTGCACGAATAACTACAGAAAGCGTCGAATACTGTCCGAGGGCTTATATGTAGCTTGCATGGAATCCGGCAAGGCAAGTACGGCTGGAATGTTTTTAAGCTCCATTGCTTTCCGCATGACTGGAAATGATGAACTATTTAGACATTTTTGCTTGCAATGAGCCTATTTCAACGTAGCCGCTTTTAGTTGTAATCAACAAGCAATACACAAAACGGGAACCTCAACTAACTTTGTAAACGCCCGGAGCTGCTACATATCGTCTTGCTGTGCTGTCTTTATCTTCGTGTCCCTGTTCTTATATCTCCGTGTGAATGAACGACGAAGACGCTCTAGATGTACTTTTATCGAACCGCAGAAGGCCTCGAAGCAGTCACGAATCATTTTACTATTTGATGCATTATTTTGAGTACTCACCTCCAATTTCTATCGCTGGCACGTTCGCTGCCGCTGTTCCCCCCGTGGCCAGACTGGCGGATACCATGACTCAAACAAAGAAACGTGCACACTGGGCTCGAAAACGCAGATCGCAACACACGAGACGTTCCTGCAGCGACTATCAAGCGCCTCAAAGCGCCTTAGTCAACGGAAACAACCCACCAGCGGCACTTCAAGGAGCGCTTTTGCCGGCTCTCTGGTATCGCGCAGGAGATCGCGATTAAAAAACAAACAAACAAATAATAGAACTGCGTTTTCAACAATTTCCAGCCTCACCCGGCGGCGGAAATGAGCCTTCAACTAAGTGTTGTAGATGATAAAATCGAGTCAGTCAGCACTGCAAATTATGACTATTAATATAAATTCAGTTACGAAATTTTACAAACTGAAACAACAGTTATCATGAGAAAACTCGCACGCACATTGCGAGCGTACCCCATGTTCATCGGCGGTACAGCGTTCGGTGCGCGCTCCATTCACGAAATGTTCCGAGCGAAGTCGAGAGGATGGCGTTGAGGAAACGCCTTTTCGGTTTACGGACGCAATCCACTGCCGCTGGAGACAGGGGTCATGTGGAAAGCGATGGAGCTCAAAGACATTGCAGCCGCTCTCGCCTTGCCGGGTTCCTTGCAAGCTACATATGTTCTCGGACAGTATTCTATGCTTTCTGTTTTTATTTCTGCACCCTATGACCCAGCAATGGTGTCCCGATGACCGGGGGACTGTTGCCATCGAAGCCTCTGGCTCTAATTAAGTTTGCGAGTTTAAAACAGGAAAGAAAGCGCGAACGAAGTTCGGGCACAGCAGACATCCAACACCGGCGAAGCCTCTCATCCGGGGCTTTCACTCTTTCTGCACAATCAGAAAGGAGGAAAGCGCCGGTAGCCCTTTCCCCTTTTCTCTCTCGCCCTCTTTCAGTAAAACGGCACATAGGATGCGAACGGTAGAAAACCATGATATGAAACTACTACGGGAGCAGAATAGATATGAATGGGAAATGGAGGTCTCCCTAACAGAAAGAAGTGTTAGGGAACAGGCGAGCTGGGGAATATTAGCAACATAATAAAACCGATTACTTTGTGGCAATCACTGCGCCGCAGATCAGTAGCCCATATCAGAGAATCAAAGCTAACCAGCTTGGCAACTTCCGATATGTGTGTACTTATTTCGTGTCCCGGGTTTGTTATGTTGCTACCTAACAGCTCTTATATGCATCTTAAAACAATAATGTCTTGCT